TGTGGCTACAACACGATAATCTAACTCTTCCACAGGAGAGACCCAGTACATTGTTTTTTGATTGAACAACATTGTGAATTAGAAAGTGGGATTGTTTTTCTTCTTGAGGATATCACAATAGATTGGTGCTTTTTCATGAAGTCGAAGACGGGGTCCAAAAGCAAACCCAAACCCAGCCATTACCAAGCAGCTGAGCTCAGACGATACAAACATCTCGAAGTTGACAATGTCATATTTTGTGAGGAGATCGCGAGTTTCGTGGTCGTCGGGGCTGATTGAGCAGAAGGTGAGATACTCTTCAAACTCAGGGAATGGCCTTGGGGCCGGAGAATCGGTTTGAGGTGCAGCTCCAGCTGCAGTTCCTTGGTTGTTTGTCATCACAAGCAACACACCAAGTGAACTAATGCTCGAGTTCTGATTGTTGGAGCGGGCATTGCTGATGGGTAGCCACTGGAACTCCTTTCTGGAAGGTGGTGTTTTGATGGTGACTCCTGGTACCTTATTCACCTGGGTCAAAAGAATTATTAGAAAATTAGTTGATAACCTTTGTGCAAAAAAAGAACGAAAAAGATTACTTACGATTGCTTTTGCCCAGATGTCAAATGCTAGATGTGACAGATGCATCTCCAAGGAGGAGTCTTTGGTGTTGATCATACCCATGCACTCTCTCCCGCCAATCGAGGTAGTTCCGTACATGGTCATTAGCATGACTCGTTGGGCCTGAACCTTGGCATCAACTTTGATGCTCTGGTTCAAATCAATGATAAAGATCGATTAGCAATAGAATGGACATGGAATGGAAAATGAAAAAACACTCACCAACATCTCTACCGCAGCTCTTTTGTCGTCATTCAACGCATCAGGAATGTTGTGTTGCATTGCACAATTGAACTTCAATTCCTGATGCGTTGAATGTGTCAGTATTAGATAGAGATAGAGATGAGAGGAAAGAGAAATGGAATTCACATACCTTACTGTCAGTCCGAGCTTGCACTTTTGGGTTGTCCATGTTGAGAGAAAACCCAACCTCGTTGGTAGGCTTCTTGATCATCATCGCCTTGAACTGATCGAATATTTCTTCTGAGTCAATTATTGGCTTCAATGACTTACCAAAGACCCCCCCATGATAGATTTAACCTTTAAGGGTTACTCCAAACCTGGCTCGCAGCGCTGCGCAGCGCTGCAAGCCGTATTTTGGGAAGCGCAGCTAAAATCAAACTTGCTCTGGGGAGGTAACTATAAGCGCAGCTCAAAAGAATCTCACGGGAAATCTCAACGAAAGCGAATTACGCCCAGCAGCGTTCGCAGCGCTGCA